TGAGGAGCTCGGTGACTTTAAACGTCGCACTGCCACCTTTGCCACAAGCCAGTTTGTGAAATTTCTGCCCTGGTCAACTGTAAACTCTGGAAGCAACATAAGCACAAGAACTGTGCATTTGGAGCTTCATGAAATGGATTTTCATGGCTGAGCAGCTGCACACAAGCCTAAGACTAATGCCTAGCGACTGCTGGAGTGGTGTAAAGCATGCCATTACAGGACTCTGGAGCAGTGGAAACATGTTCTCTGGAGTGATGAATCATGGTTCACTACCTGATAGTCTGATGGTCGAATCTGGACAAATCTGAACACTACCTATCTGAATGTATAGTGCTAACAGTAAAGTTTAGTAGAGGAGGAATAATGGGCGGGGCTGTTTTTCAGGGTTTGGGCCCCGTAGTTCCACTGAATGTTAATGTTATGGCATAGAAAGACATTTTGGACAATTATGTGCTTTCAACTTAGTGTTAGGCCCTTTCCTGTTCTGGAATGACTGAGCCCCTGTGCACAAAGTGAGTTCCATAATGACGTTTTGACGAGTGCGATTGAAAAAGTGGAGCTGCAGAGGGTGCCAACTCCATATTAATGTCCATGATTTTGCCATGGGATGTCCAACAAGGTCACATAGGTGTGATGGTCTGGTGTCTACATACTTTTGGCCATATAGTGTGTGGCTTTGAATTTGAATTTTCCAATGGTTGCATGATGTATTTGTTTAGTGCATGATGGATATTGTAGTGAGAGAACACTGTAAGACAAAACCACAAAAATGCTATAAAATCGTGAATTCTGTCAAACTGATGAGACTTACAGATACACTGCTGTTCTATAACATAACAAATAACATGTTAAATGCTAGTTTTAAACTGGAATATCCCTTTAAATGAAAATCATTGCTTGCTTTGATACCTTTGGTGTGGTTTAACTGGGTGCTTTGTAAGCGTGGTGGGCTAGTCTTAATACAGTGTGTACTCATTCATAAATCTAATTCAGGGGCTCCTGCCTCAGGCCCTCACTCCTACACTCCTCTACCAGCTTGCTTCTGGATTTATGAAATGCATGAAGTCCTAATGTAGCCCAGGGGATAAACAGGGGAGTATATGTGTGTACAGGAGCACATTTTTAATGGTATAAAACATGTATGATGCTTCATGTTGCTTCTTGACAAATCCACATATTCACAGGACAGCACATTTCATGCTCCAGGTCAGGAATATAACAAATCATTTGCGTTAATGGGATAGTTTAATGAAAAAGCAAGTTTGGGCCCCATACAAAGGCACCATCAAGGGTGGGCCAAGGGGTCACGGCCATCAATTACAATTGCTGGCTTTCCAGTGGCTCCCTGGTGAGTCTGGTGTGGAAAAAGATTATTTTGAAAACTGAGAAAAAATATGTTTTTAAAAATTGTCCAAATGTGTGTGAAACAATAGTTTATACCCCACCTGTCACAATCATGCCATGTATTTTTTTCCTTTATTGCAACAAATTAAAGGAAATTGGCTGAACTGTCTTGTTTGCTGTTATACTCAGCTTGTTGTTAATACTCAGTAGTTCCCCACTGTTGAGAGACACAGCTCAAGCTCAAATAAACAAGCATCACTCATTGTGGCCTTCTAACCATGTTTGAAACTGCATTCAGCTCAAATAATTGTGATTAGGCGATTATGTAAGAATTGTAGCAGGCCTAATGGCTTCTTACACATATTTACCCCTCACTCAAACTGTAGTCAAGCCAAGACACGTTTGGTGTCCAAAGTTCTTCAGTTTATACCCCACCAATTAGCACTGTGCAAACTGCATGCCTAAACCATTACATATCTGCCTCTAACCACATCTAGTTAAGTAATCTCAAATAAATATCTGTCCGTTTTTATAGATGATAGTATCAGAAACCACATAAGCAAGTCTGTTTGTACTGTCATGACTCAACCTGAGGCAACCGTTTGGACATTTAGGCATGCAGTTTGCATGATGCTAATTGGTGGCATATAAGCTTCCATTACCTGTTAGCTAGAGTGCAAAACCAAAGAAGCAAAATTCAAACATGGCTGATTAACTTCATTTGAGTTAAAGGAAACCTGTAAGTTTGAGTTTTCGCCATACGACCACTTAAGTGTAGTTGTTGAAGCCCCTAAGAACTGAAAACTGTGTTTTCTTTCCATTTAGGTCAATCCTGTTTTTGTGGGCACACAATGTACATGTACAGAGTTTACCATATGAATAGAGAATGGTCAGACTGCAGAGTCGCAGAGCCGCAGATGTACAACCACAGTTTCACTCCAACAGTTTCAGGCCAGTGGAACACATGCGCAGTAGTACGGCACGATCGTACCATGTATACAAGGCCTTATAGGAAAGTTGAGTGTTACAGATGTTCCCATTCGTATTTCAACCAGTGGCCGGTCTCCTCATTTTTGCTTGCTTTGAGAAATACTGCTTGAAACAAGTAAAATAATTTGCTAATTGAATAATGCTCTTTAATTAGACAAAATGGCTTAAAACAGGTAAAAAAATGTCTAGAAATAAGTCTCATCATATTACCACAACCACCTCATAATGAGATATTTCAGGAATATTGACTAGATTTAAGATGTTTTCATTTGCAAAGATAAAGTTTTTGCGGTGTATTTCTACCTTGTTTTTTTATTCAGTCTTTGTCAGCTGTTTAATTGAAGGTATATTTAATACTTAACTTTAAAAGACCTGCAGCTGAACTGTGCACATATACACTTACATAAATACATATATATGTATATATGATGATGTACTCATGTATATTTGAGTTCAAAGTCTGTAAGGGATTGTTCAACACTGCTAATTTTACAACACAGTGACTCATCCGCGGAGACGGCCTGAGCCCGTCTTTAACTGCTCCAGCCGTTATGGAAGAGATAAGGGCATCAAGTGCATGCAAGCTGTTGAAGTGAGGCTTCCCCACCATCCCTCTCAGAACGCTGACTTTAATTTCCTACCATCTCTCAACTTCCTCTGCTCGCCACATCCTTATCCACCCTATCTCTCTCTCTCGCACATGCAAACCACACATACCACAGCAGGACATTCAAAACTTCACATCAGCTATTCCCCGGTGCCTAAACTGCTAATTCTCGCAGGTACACCCTAACACCTTGCACTGCGAACTCAATTATCACTCTTGTACATGCCCCCCACCCTCCCCCTTTATGACTCACAGAACACTTTTATTTTTAACTCCCCATTGCTAATTGATATTCCAGGCTAATGCACCACTTTCTTGTTGTGAGAAGTTGGTGATTGGCAATTAGCTCATGCAGGAAGAGGGAGCAAACAAGCAGACTTGAAGAAGCACATCAGTTCCTACAACAAACACACCTTTATTTACCCACAGACTGCCCAAGTGCATCCGATTCGGTGGACCAATGTAAATATCATGTGTAAATTATTTGCGCAGACCAGGCATAATAGTGTCAGCTCTCTCAAGTGCGGGGAGCATGAGAGCCGAATTCTGTGGGCAGGATGGCACATGGGAAACGTGAAATAGGGAGATAAAGGATTATGAGCGTCAGTGGCCAGCGGCAGGATGGATTTACGGTGAGGCATAGCGCGTAGCGCTGATAATGTCAGATCCTAGTGTGGCTCTGTTTGCATTATCTGGACACCTCAATTGCCAGAAAACACAGCTGCGCTTGGCCACCTCTCTCTGCTTTTCCCCCATGTCTTTATCCAAGCAAGTCGCACATCGTTGAGGCGAACTGAGGCGTATGGACCGGCTTTCAAAGACATCAGCGCTATTGCCTTAATGTTATTGTTCATTTCCGTCTGTTTGCTTTCACTCTGGTTGGTGGGTATTGCGCTAGGCTCATCTTATAATGCTATACACTTATAGTTTAGTCAATCTTAAGATAGAGTTATGAAATAACAGGAAAGACCTCGCTTGAAAGGCCTCCTCCCTCCAAAACTAACTTCCTATATATATTTAATCTTCATCTTGCATTTCCTCTGAAGGTTTCACTTCCCAAAACTCAGAAGCCATCCGGAACTGCAACTCAAGTTTTCAGAGTACCAAATTATCAGATTATTAACTAATGCTTATTTTTTAAATAATTTCAGCTGTTGATTATTATTCGATTAATTGACTAATTGGACCATTATGCCCTCTGCTATCTAAGTTGTTCACCGTGAGAAAGAATTTTGTTTTATGGTGTAACTATGAAACTAATAATTAGTTATGATTAACTAATGATTATTTGTATATTCATTAAAATTTTAACTGTAAGTTACTGTTCGACTAATCGACTAACTGGAGCCATATACCTTTTGCTGTTTCTTCTGACTTTGCCACCACTATCAGTTCTTTCTGTACAAGAGGCATTTTTTATTTATGGTGCAATAAAACTAATGAATAACTATTATTAACTAATGATTATTTCAATAATTGATTAAGTTGTCGATTATTATTCTATTAATTGACATTCAAAGTTCTGTCTGTGCAACATGATTTTTTTTTAGTTTATGGTGCAAAACTACTAATTACGTTAATCATTAATGCTTATTAACTACTAATTATTTCCATAATTGATTAAGCCGTCAATTACTATTTAATCATTTGACTAATTTGAACCACTTTGCCTTCTGCTGTTTCTTCTCACCATCATTCAAAGTTCCATCTGTTTGACAAGCATTTTTTCTTCTTTTACAGTGCAATGAAACTAATAAGTAATTAATTAATAATAATGACTACTGTTGATTAGTATTTGACTAATCGACTAATTGGGCCACTAAGCCTTCAGCTTTTCTCCCTCAGTTTGTCACTGCCATCATTCAAAGTTTGCAACAAGAAATTTTTCCTTGGTGCAATGGAAGTATAGAAGCCATATCGCCCCCTATGCTTCCCGTGGTGTGCTGCAATCTGTTAGAATTGCCCTGTGTATCAAATGAGTATTACAGACCATTTTTGTATTTAAATCATATTTGGCATCTAATCAACTTTGTGCCAAAGTCACTGCTGTTGCACTTACCGTCTGGTTGTCTTCGTAAAGCTTAAGGTCGTAGCCACTCAGCTCCACGCAGAAGATGATTGCGGTAACGCCCTCGAAACAGTGGATCCACTTCTTCCTCTCTGAGCGCTGGCCACCCACATCCACCATCTTGAAGGTGAGCTCCTTGAAGGTGAACTTGTTCTCCACAATGCCAGTGGTCATGTCTCGGGAGCGCAGGATATCCTCCACGGTTGGAATGTACTCGGGTGCAGAGATCCGGTCCAGGTCGTTAAGGTAGTAGGCCGTGTTGTCCTCCAGGTGGTATTCGTTGGAGCGCTGAAAGCACTCCTGCACCCCGGAGTCAGCCCAAAGGCGCTTCATCACACCCAGAAGCTCGGGAGTGATTTCCCCTTTGCTCTCAGCCGGACCTGTGAGGGCGAAGAGTTGAACGGCATCATAGGCACGGTCTGGGTTGTGGAAGTCGATCTTGAGAGTTGTCAAGGCCCGGATGATGCGGGTGAGCGAGTCGATGGCATTGTAGAGGATCAGCGGCTTGTACTCCTTGCAAGCCTCAAGATTGAAGCCACCACTGTGGATGATCTTCATCTGCTTGACAATGGTGCTCTTGCCCGAGTTGCTGGTGCCCAGAAGTAGGAGCTTGATCTCGCGCCGCTGGCGCTGGCTCTCTGAGCGAAGGTGCCTGTCGATGCGCCTCGAGCGCCTGGCTGCCTCTTTTTCCTCCGAACTCTGTCGGCAGCCCATGGTCAAATACGGGTTACACAGGTACTCCACAACAACTCCTAGAAAGTACTGGAAAGCAAATCGATGCCAAGGTGAGGAGATAATACTAGAGAAAGGCGAAGAGGAAGAGCATCAATAGCGTAACAAAGTCAGTGACAAACGGGTTTGTGGCCCCACTCTAGTCCAAAGCAAAGAAGTAGGTGGATTAGATTGCAGTGAATCTGTATTTTCTTAGAGATCAACAATAAGGGATTTGGCATTCAGTGCTACCCGGAACATGGTGGAAGAAGACCCACTTGTATCCTAGTTCAGCAGCTTGGCTTCCTTGTTAGATCCCAGTAGATGGGGGGGTCAAGGAGGGGACACCCCCCCAAAAAGTGATGACTAAAAAGAACCTGTCAGCATTGAGGGAGAGAGTGTGGATAAGGCAAAAGCCCCTCTGTGTCCTCCCTCATGTTATAGAGTGAGCGCTCCTTTGTATCTGACAGATGGTGATCATCGGATATTATTCTATAGTCCTTGGTTTTTCCTTTCTCGCTTCTACAGACTGTCAGACCTCATGCTCTCCAGGTGGTGCTTTTGGGTCTTCTGGACAACAGATTGTCTTGCTGTTTCTTCGTTGCATAAGCCAGTGCGTCTCAGACGGCCAAAGGCATGGGTTCCTGGAGGGAAAAAAGATAAACAGATTAACTTTCATGAGAATCAAGAAGATGCAGAAAAAACAGCAGCTGAAGTAGCACTTACAGAGCGCATATGGACCTGCTGTAGAGCAGAGCGGGCAGGAATAGGCTTTGAACATGCTTACTTAACACACGCGGCATTAAACACTGATCACGTTGCTTTCTAAGATTGAAATTCTCTTTTCAAACAGTTCTCCAGTGACCGCAGCCACAAAATCAACCCCTCCCCACCCACCCGTTGCTTTCACTTTCTCTCCAAACTTGCTACAAAGCTCAGTTAATATTTACTAGCAACCCTCCTCTGGTCTGACCGTATCAGCCTTGTACACAGGGCCACATGACAGCAGGCTGAGCCAAATTCTGATTAGAGGAGTCTGTCTGCTCAGTTTCAAGTTAACTAAGTCTTGTGTCCACAAAATGTGAGAACACTTTATTAAAGCAAATGGATTCCGGGAAAGTAATATAATCATAATCACAGCCAGCTACACTTGAAGCATATAAAGTAACGCTACGAACCTGCACCCAGATATGAATAGTGCGCTTGATAAAACAATGTGAGTACTTGCACATATGCGCGCAAGCTCTGCTAGAGTGTACTTCCTCAGCAAACAATGACACTTGAATTACACAAGTAGAATAAACAGACAGATACTAAATGGTTTGTGCATGCGCAAGCTCACCATACAAATCCAAGGTAGTCAAACACATCACACGCACACAGACCATGTTCCCACTCGGTCTAGCTTCTGCTTTTTGTTTGTGACCCTGTGTTCACTGTCTATTCTTTCTCTGCTTGCTCTTCTATTGTTCCTTTGTTCTGCATTTCTGAGCTACCTCAGATACACAACCCTAGCTTACACAGGAAAATGTCCTTCCCCATAGCTAGATGTGTCAAAAACAGCCTACTCTCCCTGCTAGGCTCAGAGCTAGATGCTACGCTAAATCAGTTAAGTGAGTCAGCTGAGCTGACTACTGGCCTAAGCTAACTAAGCTAATTACATTTTGGCCAAATTAAGTGAACCTGCCCCATTAAGAACCATTAGGTTCTGCTTCTTAAAGGTTAGAGATCACTAGATAGTAGGAAAACCATCAAATGTGTTTAGACTTAGTCCACCCGAAACTTTCAATGATTTTTAAGATTTTTTTCAGTAGATTTAAGTGAACTAAAAGAGATACAAAGAGTTTTAGCGATGTGCTAACTACTGAACAAGGCTACACATAACTGATTGAAGTAAGTGAGCTAACAGAGCTAAATCCCAGACAGCAAGCATACATTGGTCTGCTGGCTCGATAAGGTCAGCACCCTGTATACCAATGCTGGACCACCCTCGGACCAGCCAGTTTACTGTCCATACAAGGCCAGCTAGTTTTTAATCTCCTCAGATGCATGTTAAATGGTCACGCTTAATATAAAATTATTTTGTTGAAAATATTGGCACACTGTACACAGCTGATGAACCATTAAGAGAAGCCATGCTGTTCAAATGAGCTGCTCCAGGTGAACACTCACATTCAACACTCAGGACCTAAATCTTAATTGAAACCTCTTGTGAATTACTGAACATCACTGACTTTATTTATGATTTTACTGTTAAAATGATTTACTTCAACCAATTTACAAAGAATACATAACTAGATAAATAAAGATTGAAAGTAGGGGGGATTGGAATATGTGTGGAAAATGAGCGGTGAAGGAGGGGCACTTTGTCTAAAACTCTCACACTAGTGGACAATGAGTGATGAGCAAAAAGCCAGCGCACCGCTATGGTGTCCATTGACAGTGGGTTGCTAGCTTTGAGCCAAAGTGGCAAGCTAGCTTTTTGCCTTTAGGGTTAGAATAACTTAGCTAAGCTAACTGTGAACTAAAAGAGGTACAGAAAAGAAGTACAGCCAATGAAGCTACACGTAAGTTGGCTAACATAGTTACTTAGTATACTGAGTTATCTAACTATGAATTAAAAGAGATACACTAACGAGATACACTCAATGAAGCTGGTTGGTTAACATTAGGATAACTGAGCTAAGCTAACTGTGAACTAAAAGAGATACAGCCAATGAAGCTACACATAAGTTTGCTAACATAGCTAATTAGGATAACCGAGCTAAGCTAACTGTGAACTAAAAGAGATACGGTAAAGAGGTACAGCCAATGAAGCTATACATAAGTTGGCTAACTAAGCTAATTAGGATAACTAAGCTATGCTAACTGATTTAAGTGCACTAAAAAAGGTCCAAAGAGCTTTTGCATGGTGCTAACTGGCCTTACTGAGCCAATAAAGCTGCATTGAGCTATGTGCTGACTCTGCATGCTAATAGCAGGTGAGCTGCTTGTTTACTGTCACAACAGAAAATAACCTCTGAAAAGCAAGTGCATTTTTCATCAGCATGAGTTCTGCCTTAATCAACATTATCTCCCATTTTTTTCCAGGAAAACACATCAGACTGTTCCCAGTTCTAGATTACAGTCACTTATGTAATTGAGGATAAGTGAAGGGACCAAGGGTGAGAGAAAATGCCAGTGTAGGGACTACTTCAAAAAATGATTTTATTTGCTGGTAAAGTTCGATTCTGAAACGCCTTAAACATTTTTATGCCTACTAACAAATGCAGTGACCTTTTCATACAACTTTAGACGTCGACAGCAGGCAAAGTGTGAGGCTTTAAGCATAGAGGGAACACAGTTTCTCTGGGACCTGATTACAGGTGTACAAGTCGCTTTTCGCCATTTGTAGAATTCAGTTTCTCTCGTGCACTTTGGCAAACCTTTCAAACGCTTCTATCTCATTTCATTTCTTTTTCTGTAATGTTAACAAAGACTGTCCTCTTGCTATCCTTATATGGCAATAAAATGCCTAGAAACATTTAGAAATAAATGTTACATTTGCTAATCCAGGTAAATGTGGCCCAAATTTCTACATTCTATAACTTTTTATGTATCAGTATCGGATATGCTCATGGAAAATTCCCATAGCGGTTAATCCCCATTTGGTACGTTCGCATAAAATACACCAGGATTTGAATGCTTAGAAGCCAGTAAATTTCATTACGCGACAGTATACGTATCTGCGCAAAAACTTTTCCCAGAATCCCAGCAACCTCAGACCACTGAGGACGAAACCACCCGTGTTTGTTTAGAACTACAATCCAAAATTATGTTCACTTGTTTCTGTGGGCTTTCAGAGCATTGAATTACATTGTGATGCTACTAGAAAAAATGTGCCAGCCTATGCCTCCTGTGTTTAGATTTGTTTTACGGCTTGTTTATATTAGCTAGCTGAAGGCCACCAAGCTGAGTGACTCACTAGCCACATCTATCGCATGTATTTAAATGAAAGACCAAACAATAGTGGCATCTGACGTTGACCATGTTTGAGTTGTCTCGCCAGAAAGTTACACTAGACTCAAATAAAAACCATTTTTCATTTTTGATTTTTCTTTTAAAAAAAGTAATTTTTAAGTATTTTGGCAGAGGGGAAGCCTCAGGGCCTTCTAAGCCTTCACAGAAGGCTTTCACAAGCTTCAAGTAAAACACAAAGTGTCTTTTAGAAGCTTTAAATGTCTGTGTTTAATCTAGAACTGTGAATCGCTGTTTAGCTTAGTGCTATCACACTACTAGAATCCCATAGAGACGCTGGCAGAAGTTAGGATTATTGTTGAGATGGGTTTTTCCTTGTGCTTTGACTGGGTTTTGACATTTATGGCTCAAATCGAAGGCCCAGCTTTAATAGTCATGGTTGCCACTGTTTAAAAGGGAACCAAAGGTGATTCTCCCATGGCATCGTGCCAAAGAACCCAGTTTGGCAGCTTTATTTTAAACATTGTACAGCACCTTCATTCTGGTTGCTCCTGTTTTGTTTTGTTGTTCCTTTGTTCTAGTTCACCCACCCCCCCAGTCTCCAGTCTTTCCAAGAGCAGCACAGCACTGTGTCTGAAACTGCAGCCTCGCTGTTTGCCAGGTTCTGGGGAATGTAATCTCTGAACTGAGAGCTGAAAGTAGGCCACGGCACGGTTTCACATTTATTAATTTACACAGCCAATAGCATACGACCTGTCACAAAGAGCATCCATTTAACCCCCCTTCTTCACCCAACACTAACCCCCCACCCACCTCCCTTCCACTCCCACAGGCACTCACTGCTCTCCTAACAGATCACCTTCAACATTCATCCATTCCACTCCAGCACGCATGCTTTTTTCAATCTGAATGGAGCTCGGCTGAATGCACCAGCTTTGAATCATTTATCAATTTATTGTTTTGGCATGTTTTTCAAGGGCATGATTTAATGCATTCAAATGCTGTCAGGCAGAGAAATAAAGTATTACATAAAGATGAACTAAAAGATATAGTTGTATTGTTTTTTTTTTTACTCTCCTTGGCAATGTTGTGTGCCAAGCAGTGTCAGAGGCATGCGGGATTTGTCGGTGGTGGGGAGGGGTCAGTAGAGCATGAGATTTTTTAAATTTAGTATTGCAGGTTTGTTGTATGTTTTAGCATATTAGCATATTTATTTGAAAACATTACGATTCATTCATTTTAATCCTGACGGTATTTATTTTGTCTACCCAATCAGAAAAACTCAGCCAAAGCAGCTACATCTGCCATGTATTTTCCACCAAGTTTTCAAAATTTCCGCATATTTAAACAGTTAATATGTAATCAGAGTCATTCAGAGTGGTTTGGTGTGAAATGCACTGTTCTAGTGAAACCAAGACAGAATTGTTCACAGTGGTGGTGATAGGAACCAGACGTCCATCTCTAAAAGCTCCCTCACAGAAGGTTATTACATAAAAATGGTTATGAATACGCTACTTGATGTCTGAGACGTTGTGTGATAGTCTTCAGTTATGATTTTGGCAAAAAACAGATTCTTTAATCCATTCATGGTAGAGGGGTACATACAGGGCGTTCTAAGGCAAAAGGCTGTACAACTATTAGGTACCTGGAAGACAGGTTTTGGATAGTAAATAAAATGTCTATATTT